ACTTGCCCTAGGACCCGCTCTAGTTTGGCATGTAATAGCGTGGTCGGCCACCACCAGTCCAGCCCAAGGCCTCGCGCCCCTACCCCCCCTCTGCGCGTAGGGAAAGGCCATGATGGGCCAAGCCCCCTCGCGCTGGAGCCGCGTTCGGGGCCCCACTCGCCGCTTTAATGCGCCCCTTGCATCGCATGGGCTGGGTCCTGGTTTCCCTTCCTGTTTTCCAAGCCTCGGGGGGACAACAATATCCTCTAACGCGTTTCTCGCCAGCCTTTGTGCGCCAGGAAATGCAGCAGGCCTGGCAGCGGCAGCTGAGAGAGCGAGCTGCTAGCAAGCTAAGTCACGCAGGCTCCCAGGTGGATGCCCAAGTTGCCACGGGAGCCCCCGCCGGCCCCAATTCAACCAAGCAAGGGCGGGGCAGTCCTCTAACTTTCCTCACGCAAGGCACCTGGGCAAAGTCCAGGGCCAAGGATGCAGGGTATGAAATAAACGCCCAGTGCGGATGTGGAGCCCCCAAGGACTCACTGCACAGTCGTTTGTTCCAGTGCCCCATCTCGCAGGAGGAGCGGGATAGAGCTTTATCGCCAGGAGAGCAGGATCATCCTCCAAGGACAAGAACCGCTCCTAAAAGTCGGTCTCCATATCAGGCCCGAATATAAAGTTTGCCCCCCGATCCAAACAGGTCTGACGGATTGCCAGTTTTGGTGCGTAAATCCCGACGCCAGCCTGGAGAGAGCTTTTTCAGGGCCAATATACGTGGACGGCAGCTGTGGCAATTCGATACACCCAGCTTTCCAGTCGGCTGGCTGGGCGGTAGTTAGCATGAGAAACGAGGCTCCTTTCGCGATGTTGTCAGGCCAGGTGGGCAACATGTACACCCGGAGCCCGGGCGTGGCGGAAATGCTAGCAATCATAGCTGCGCGCGCCATTTCGCCCTTAGTCACCCAGGTCCACACGGACTACAAAGGAGCAGTTGACCTCTTTCAGTCTCCTGGATACCCCCGGAAGAACCAACATGCAGGGTTCAAGGTTCTGGCGGGCAGAGCTGTCGCGCCGCCGCCTTCCTGTCTCGTGAAGGTGAAAGCCCACCAGAATCTAACCCGGGGATTTTGTCAGCAATGACGATTAGAACCATGCTTTGGGTAATGCTGCAGCGGGCAAAGCAGCCGAGCGAGCCGCGGCAACCCTTCGTCAGCCATCCCAGTCGGAGTTGGAGCAGAGTCGTTTCGACCAAGGCACGCTGCGACGGTTTTTGTTTTATGTTGCTCGGGTCCTCCCTAAGTGGCCAGCGCTGGCCACGAAGGCGGGTAAGCAGTCCCTGAGCCGTCCAGCTAGTAAGAACCCGCCCGTCGGCGCCGCCTCGGCTGAATATGCCTGGGACCCTGGGGCCACCCGTCCTCCTCCGAGGCCTCCTCGCCCCCGCCCCTGCGAGCCCCCAGGGCCCGTGGGCGAGCTCCACCGTTGGGAATACACCCGCGGCACTTATTGTTGCACCCTATGCCGAGTCAGGGCCAAGACCCAGGACCAGTACCTCAAGCGTCTCGATGAAACATGTCCTGAGCACTGTGCGGGCCTAGCCTCGCTGGCGCAAAGCCCCAGAGGCTACAAGCTTTTGATGTTTGAGTACGTGCACAATTCCAGCACGATGATTATGTGTCGCTCCTGCGGGTCCTATTCAGAAACAGGCACCCGCGGCCGTTTATGTCAAGAGTGTCCGCGGGAACTTTCGTCGAACAATTCAAGAAGCCAGTTAGCCCGCGCTCTGGAGCTCAGACACCCGAGGAGTGGAAGGGAATCCGCCCCCTTGTGTCGCCTCCAGAGCCACTCGAGCGTTTTATAGACGAGCCATTGAAGCTGCGCAACAGCAGCCCAGCGAGGCAGATCAAGCCCAGGTGCAGACAGGCCCACACCAGGGATGAGGCTTGGCCATCGTCCTGGCGTTCTTTACACCAGGGGAGGGCATTGCCGAGTCGTCCTGGCGTCGCCTCACTCTTTGTGTACATGTGCGCAGGTGCGTGAGCGTCCCCCGCACGCGTGTCAGGCACCCCGCTTCAGGGGGAATGAGCGCTCACTCATCTCTTCCTGCGGCACTGGCCGCAGACACGCCTTGGCGCGATGCAGGTTCGATCTGGGGTGTTGTTTCTCGCTCCGCCTGGCGGTGCTGGTTACGCAGCCAGCCCTAGTACCCGAGCTTTGGGGTACCGCCAGCCAGAAGAGGCAGGCCGTCCTTTTCACTGCAGTGGGCCGTTTTGGCGACTTACTGTGTGCTGTGTGACACGTGCGTGTGTGTCCTGCGCGCGTGTCAGGCACCCCGCCTCAGGGGGAAGGTACGCTGCACACTCCTTTTCTCCCTCCTGTGCTGACGGTGATGGTCACGCAGCCAGCCTTGTACCCGAGCCTTGGGGTACAGTCAACCAGGAGGAATCCCTCGGGTGGCCCTGAGCACGGAGGTGGACTCAGGTTGCCAGTCCGCCCCGACCGTGGCTCAACCCCCATACCCCACCCCACGTCCGTGGATGGGGAAGTCTCGGTGCTGCTGCGGCCGAGTGTGCAAGGCCACACCAGGCCCCAGCACCGTATTCAGCGTCGGCACCGCAATGCCGTCTCAGCGGCGACGCCGCTGTGGAGTACAACATGTGGCCCAGAGCCACGAGTTTTCGGGTTAGGGTCGGGTCGGACAACCCCTAGCCTCCCCTTAGCCAAGTGATGGTCCCTCCCTCCCTCCCTCCCTCCCTCCCTCAGTCCCTCCTCCGCCTCCGCTTCCGCCTCCGCCTCCGCCGCCGTCTCCTCCTCCTCCTCCTCCTCCTCATCCTCCTCCTCCTCCTCGTCCTCCTCCTCCTCCTCCTCCTCCTCCTCCTCCTCCTCCTCCTCCTCCTCCCCTTCCTCCTTCGAGAGGGAGGGAGGGGGGGAAAGGAGGGAGGGAGCGAGGGAAGGACGGAAGCAGCAGCAGAACAATTACAATGCAGGCGGAACGTCACCAAGGTGGCGAGCCATATATAGTCGGGGGGCAGGGGAAAGGTTCGGTGGGGGGCAGAACTGGGTTCCAGGAGATTCGCTCTAAACCACACCCGGAAATGGATATATCAGCATCAATCTGGGTTCGCTCCCCAACACCTAACCCAACCTTGGGCTAACCCATCCGTGCGCACCTCCGACGTGGGACTGCCCGCGAGGCGGCCAACTGACGCCGATCGCCAGCATGCCGATCACGTCGGGGATGGATGTTGGATGACAGCCTCCGAATGTGCGAGGCTCAATATCCTGCATCAAGGAGCTGCCCGTCGGTCCAGCCTTCAGCATGAATCTGCCTTGAACTCGCTATCAGGTGCGCCGTCCAGGCGAATCCAGGGCGCTGTGCGGCGCGAGATCTTTTGCGGGTTGGCCGTAACCAGTTCAGCTGAAATGCAGCCCCTGCACCTCGTCGATGTCCACGGGGATGCCCACAACCACGGCGGTGCGGACCTAGAAGAAGTAACAACTGCATACCACACAAGGCCCCAAGACACCGCCAAGAAGCCCCAAGAGACCCCCAAGAGGCCCCCAAGAAGCCTAGGAGGCCCCAAAGAGGCCCCCAAGAGGCTTCAAAGAGGCCCCATAGAGCGCTCGAGGGCCGGCGGAATGAGCCAAGCGATTAAATAAAACCTGCATACCACACAACTGTCGGAAGAGTCCGCGCGGAGTTCCTGGATCGGCGCTGGGCCTGGCGCGCGGAGCGCCCCAGGGGCGGCGTCCGCGGCGCCGAGGGGGGGGGGTTCTGGCGCCGATCCGAGAAAGCTGCGCGGGCCGCCGAACGGCGATGTCTCTACGCCTCTGTCCTTCCTCGACCTCGCCGAGGGTGCGGTGTCTTGCCCAGGGAGCTTGCAGCCCAACATCCTCCTCCGCCTCGTCCTCCTCCTGGTACTCGTCCTCCTCCTCCTCCTCCTCCTCCTCCTCCTCCTCCTCCTCCTCCCCTCCTCCTCTTCTTGCCCGTCGCTCCCGCAAAAAAACTCGGCGGACCACTGCACAGCAGGCCGGACTGCCGCGCGGCTGGTCGTGGGTCCTCTCGGGCGTCCTCGGCCGCCACCGGCACAGCGGCGCCGTGTCCTCGCAACGCGCGCCGATCGCATCCCGCGCCAGGTCTGGGTCGATCGCCGAATGGCGCGCGAGTGCCGCTGCCCCTGATGGCAGGCCTGCCCTCGGGGAGCGGCTGGATCCCGTGTAGAGCCTCGGCAATGCTCTCGCCGACCTCTCGCCAAGGCCGCGGCGGCCGGTCTCGAGACGGAGCTTCCCTGCTGCAGCACAGGGGGGGGTCCACCACCTCTGCCAGGCTGCTGGCGCTGGCAAAGCCCCTCTTCCGGAGCAGGGCGAGTTGAGACATCGGCAGCTCATCAAGGTTGGTCTAAGGACCCTCACGAGATTTCCGAGCTGCGTCCAGCCGTGACGACGAGGGGCTCCCCCGAATGCAAACTGCCATTGCCTCAGGGCGTCCTTGGCCACGATGCTAGCCGCAGGCGCTGCACGACCGACGAAGCTATCCTTGCCGCGTCCGCTGTCATGCCTCACGCAGGCCTCGTCCCTGGCTGTTAGCACTGCTGCGGGACCAGGCGCAGGTAGGCGTAGCCGCTGATGCCAAGAAGGACAGTGGAGGCCCCAGCGATGATCGAGGGGATCCCCGCTCACGTTGCCGAAGGTGCACCCGACCAAATCTCTGCGACTGGACTGGCCATAGCTGAGATCAAACACTGAAAGTTTCCAGTGGCTGTCGGGCTGCTCGTGATGTCCAATTCGTGAATGTTGGGTCAACTCTTTACTTGTCCTGATCGTGGATCGCAGTTGCCATCCTGCTTTGGGTTTGAGACCCTTTTTGCGCATTAGCATTATTTGCCTTGACCGTTGCATATGCGCCTTTTCGACAGACTCCGTAACTGTGATTTGTCCTCCTCCTGCACCTTCTCCTTCCCGCCTCCCATCCGCCCCTCCTCCCACGCCTCAGCCGCCCTCCCTCCTTTGTCGGCGACTCAGCGCGCCTCCTCCGGGTCCATGAGGTAATACTTGCTGACGACCTCTCAACCCATCCATCTGCACTGCTGGCCAGCATCACCACCACCCCTTCCTCGCCAGAAGAAAAAATATCAACCAACGTAGACTCCTAACAAATCAGAAGACCGAACTGAAGTAGGGTGGAGGGAACTGAAGGAGACTGGACTGGAGTAGACTGGACTGGGCTGGGTGGACTCTACTCCACTCTACTCTACTCGATCATGTGTTGTTTGACTCTACTCCACCATCTACCCTACCCTACGCCACTCTGCTCTAATCGAACCTACTCGACCCTGCACTACCGCACACGGACCTGATCTAAGCTCCTTCTGATCAGCTCTACTCTGGTCCTACTCTACTCTACTACGACTGTAATCTAACATACTCGAATATAGGACGCTCTACTCTACTCTTTCACCGAACGGTCATTCACTGTCCCTGGATGCGTGGTTGAAGTGGGCTTCCGCGGTGCGGATTGAATGCGAATTACTTAGAAATATTATCGTTGGACCCCTTACAGGCGCCCTGGCGCTCTCGCCGAGGCGCCGGCTGCATTTTCATTGAAAATGAGGCTCACTCTCAAGCGGTTTGGGGGACCGCCAAAAACGGCCCCCCAACAACAACAACGCTCTCGTTCGAGGCGTCCTCCTTTTTTACTCAGGGCCGGTGCTCTTGCTCGCCGCCGAAAGCAGCCATCTCAAGAAAACCAGCGCTCCCGCTCGAGACCTCCTCCCGTTTTACCTTGGACAGGCGCTCTACTCTTTTTCTCATCGGCGCCGCCCCCAGCAACAACAACGCTCCCGCTCGAGAGTTACTCCCATTTTTACTCGAGCCGGTGCCACTGCTCGCCGCCGAAAGCCGCCGCTCCAACAAAACCGGCGCTCCCGCCCGAGGCCTCCTCCCGTTTTACGCTGGACTGGCGCCCTACTCTTTTTTGAATGGGCGCCGCCCCCAGCAATAGCAAAACTCCTTCGAGACTTCTTGTTTTTGTTTACTCAGAGCCGGTGCTCTTGCTCGCCGCCGAAAACCGCCGCCCCAACAAAACCCACGCACCCGCCCGAGATACTACCGTTTTACCTTGGAGTGGCGCGCTACCCTTTCGTTCATCGGCGCCGTCCCCAGCAAAAACCACGCTCCCACTCGAGACATCCTCCTTTTTAATCAGAGCCGGTGCTGCTGCTCGCCGCCGAAAGCCGCCGCACCAACAAAACCAACGCTCCCGCCCGAGACTTCTTCCCGTTTTACCTTGGAGTGGCGCGCTACTCTTGCGCTCATCGGCGCCGCCCCCAGCAAAAACAACGCCCCCGCTCGAAACATCCTCTTCTTTAATCAGAGCTGGTGCTGCTGCTCGCCGCCGAAAGCCGCCGCCCCAACAAAACCAACGCTCCCGCCCGAGATTTCTTCCCGTTTTACCTTGGAGTGGCGCGCTACTCTTTCGCTCATCGGCGCCGCCCCCAGCAAAAACAACGCCCCCGCTCGAAACATCCTCTTCTTTAATCAGAGCCGGTGCTGCTGCTCGCCGCCGAAAACCGCCGCTCCAACAAAACCGGCGTTCCCACCCGAGGCCTCCTCCCGTTTTACGCTGGATTGGCGCCCTACTCTCTTTTGAATGGGCGCCGCCCCCAGCAAAAGCAACGCTCACGCTCGAGGCTTCCTCCCTTTTTCCTGAAGACGGTGGTCTTGCTCGCCGCCGACAACCCCCGCCCCGACAAAACAGTCTCGAGACTTCTCCCCTTCTTGCTCAGGGCGGTCTTCCTCCTCGCCGCCGACAACTGCCGTCCCAACAGAACCAGCGCTGCCGCTCGAGACTTCGTTTAAATTTAAGCTGGACTAGCGCCCAACTTTCTTCTGCATTGGAGCCGCTCCCAGCAACAACAGTCCCCCTGCTCGAGACTTCCTCCCTTTCTATTCAGGGCCAGGGCCTTGCCTCGCCGCCGACAACCTCCATCCCCACCGAACCAATCCTGTCGCTCGATATTTCCTTGTATTTTACCGTTGGCTGGGGCTCCACTGGCGGTCTCGCATCGGCGCAGCAGGGCGCGGGCATGTGTTTTTGTTGAAACTCCTCGGAGGAAGTGTTTGCAAAACCTCATTGGGCTGGAAATTTGGGAATGGGCATAACGGACTCCCGCGATTGAGCAACAATCCCCCATGATGGGGATGGTTACCATGATGGTCGCATGCTGCGTGTGGAAGCATCGCGCATGAGGGTCAAATGATTGTTGTTGTTGTTGTTGTTGCTGTTGCTGTTGTTGTCGCAGCTGTGGGTGCTGTTTTTGTTGGTGGTGGTGTTGTTGGTGCTGTCGAACTCTCCTTACGGACTGAGGAGAAAATATTGTTGATCCCCCTCCGGTGACCATTGCGTTTTTCAATTGAAGTACCCCCCAGGGGCTCGCGCGTTTTTTTCAATGGAAAAACGCTCGGCTCTAACTGCGCCCCTGGCCGCCGCATTACAACAACCGCAACAACAACAACAACAACAATTACTAGCACGTGGGGACACTCCGTTCTCACCAGTGCCAGGGTTTTCATACGACGCCCGCCAATACCCCCACTTTGTGGGGGGGCCGGTTCAAGCTCTACCACATTTCCAAACGACTCTTCGCCACCACCCACACCCAGCTTCCCGCCCTATGACGTTCGGACACTTCACTTCGTGGCCTGCGGACGACCGTGGCTACTACACTGGCGCATGGGTACAGTGACTTGTTGTGGTAACATTTTCTGGACGCTAGCTTAGTATACGACTTTTCCCCCTGTTCCAACACTGGACACCTGTACTGGTTTTTGGTGGTAACGTGTTCCTGACGCTAGAATAGGAAACCACGGTAAACCAGTACGACGCCGGTACTGTCCGTAGGTCCTACAATGATATGGACTGCTCGTACAGATGTTTTTCGAGGACCTACGGTGCGATTCGTATGATTTTATGTTGCGCGGTGCTAAATTCTTAAGAAACCCAATGGTTTTTGAAGATTTCGGCGTGCGCGCGCGAAGAAAAAACGAATGTGTCCCGCATGGTATTATTTGACAGGGATGATGGCCCTGGCAGGTGCGCAACCGTTGTTGGAGAAGTTCGAAGCACGTGAAAAAGTTGCTCGCAAAAGCCCGTTTGACAGAAATGTTTAAAAAGTGTTGGGTTTCCTACAAATCCGCAAGAGCGCGCGGGATGAAATTTTGACACTTTTGTTTGAAAAACCATTGGCTTTTTGATGTTTTTATGTTAAAATCGCTACGAACACTAAGGTTTTGGAAGGATTTCGTCTTGCGCGCGCGAATGTCCACTTTACCTTATTTTTTGCAAGGGATTCTTGAAGTTTGGTTATGTTAGAACAAGAAATGCCCACTTTGCCTTATTTTTTGCAAGGGAAAACCGCCCGTAACAAAACAACCGGATCCGGACCAACCCGTTTTGCCGGAGACTTCCTCACGAAAATGATGAAAACATGGCTGCGGCCTAGGCGCGGCGAGGGGGCCGCGCACCAGGGGCCCCAACAATAATTATTCTTTAGAAGTAATAATGTTCAACAACAACAACAACAACAACAACAACATCAACGGCTCCGACCTGACTTCCTCACAATTGAGCCAGGACCCCCGCTCCCGCCTGAGGATTCCTCGCATTTTACTCAGGAATCGCGTTATCGCTAGGGACTTCTATATACAAGAATCGCTCTTTCGGCGTTCTGGAGTCGCGCTCTCGCTGGAGACTTGTTTGATTTACTCAAGAATCGCGCCCTTGCGTTGGTATTCTTCACAATATACTCAAGCGCCGCGCTCCCGACACTCAGGCGCCCAGGAGTCGCGCTCACGCTTAGGACTCCCGCGCAGCTTACTTCGAAATCTGGATCTCGCCGCCCTTCGTGGCAGCCCTTCATGGTCCCCCAGTTGCCCTTCGTGGATCCGTTGCAGCCCTTCGTGGCCCCCTCGCTGCCCTTCGCGGCCCCGTTGCACCCCTTCGTGGCCCCCTCGCTGCCCTTCGTGGGCCCGCTACAACCCTTCGCGACCCCCTCGCTGCTCTTCGTCGCTCCGCTGCAGCCCTTCGCGGCCCCTTCGATGCCCTTCGTGGCCCCGTTGCAGCCCTCCGTGGCCCCCTCGCTGCCCTTCGTGGCCCTGTGGCAACCCTTCGTGGCCCCCTCGTTGTCCTTCGTGGCCCCCTCGCTGCCCGTCGTGGCCCCGTCGCACCCCTTCGTGGCCCCCTCGCTGCCCTTCGTGGCCCCGTTGCAGCCCTTCGCGGCCCCCTCGTTGCCTCTCGTGGCCCCATCTACGCGTGCCCTTCGTGACCCCCGCTCGTTCGCGCCCGTCGTGGCCCCATATGCATACCCTTCGTGGCCCCGCTGTCGCCCTTTGCGGCCCCCCCGTCCTCCAGCCCTCTGCGGCCCAATGTGCGCATGCCCTTCGTGGCCCCCGCACGTTCGTGGTCCCATATGCATGCCCTTCGTGGCCCCGCTGTCGCCCTTTGCGGCCCCCTCGCTGTCATACGTAGCCCCGTTGCTACCGTCAGCAGTCCCGTCATTGCCCTCTGCGGCCCCGCATTGTCTGCCCTTCGCGGCCCCCGCTCGTTCGCGCCCTTCGTGGCCCAATACGCATGCCCTTCGTGGCCCCGCTGTCGCCATTTGTGGCCCCCTTCCTGCCCTGTCGCTGTCCGTCTCGCTATCGCTTTCGCTCTCACTTGTCGTCGTCGTCGCCGTCGTCGCCGCCGTCGTCGTCGTCGTCGTCGTCGTCACGGTTGGTCCCCTGTCCACCCGGCTGCCGCCGGTCAGCGCTGCCGCTGGCCAGGCCGACGGTCCGCGGCCGCCCCGCCGTTTGCAGGGGCCCAGCCTGCAGTGAAGAAATATATACCCCCAAAAAAGCGTACGATCGAAGACGGCGAGGGCTGGTATCGAGGGGTTGGTAAGTACACGTTGAATAACACTCGAGCAGACAGTCTTAAACTGGTTGCTGTTATTGTTGTTGGTGGTGCTGCTGTTGTTGTTGGTGTTGTTGGTGGTGGTGTACACGTTGAACAACACTCGAGCAGACA